ATCTGACTCGGCATTTTCGAACAAGTTTTTTCCAAGCAAATTCGGGTCACCCCCATCCGCGACCGGTGAACTAGGACTGCATGACTCATAAACCGCCTCTACGGAGAAATGTAACAGATAAGATAAGATGTAACAGATAGAAATTTCCATGAGCGATTGCTTTGAGCATTAGAGGATATTTGGAATAAACGACTTGAGTCAGCCAAATATTTCGTTGAAGTCACAATCTACATTGATAGTATAGTACGAAAAAGTATGGGTGGCGTTCCTCTGTCTTCCACATCAATTCCTCTTTTGCTCGAAACGTGGATGAGAAGCGGAACACAAGGAAAAAGGCGCAGATACGCCTTGACTCGATCGAAACAATGTCTTTCTGTGGACATCAAACCAATCCACAAATCTAACGAAATTATATACGTGAATATTTTCAATCGGAAAAGTTCCCAAGGATGTTTGTTTTCGTGGAGCACCCAAATGCAAATAGACCATGGGGTTCTTCAGCGTGCGTGCATGAAAGCAGTTTCAGAGAAGAGGCTTGGAATAGGCTGAATACCAATATCAGTGGTCAATTCGTTGCGAATCACCTTTCTGCGAATACTTCCTCATCGTTTTATCCTTTCCCACCCAGAATCAGTAGCTCCACGTGTTTACAGAATAGTCTAATTCAGATTTTCAGTTTTCTTTTGTGATGTAACTGATGTAGTCGCAATCTCGGGGCGCTTTCAAGAGGGGTGGGCTGAGCGCTCGTCCACGTATCCACCAGCAGTGATCGGTGAATGATCAATTTAGGAAGAAAACAACCAGTTGGGTGTAGGTGATTTTTTCATTCTAAGGCCGTCCTCACTGGTTGCGAGGTTATCAGCTGTATGCTGTGCTTCAATGCCCGAAATCGTACTTTGGCAACTTTAGAACATGAAAGAGACAGGCAATGTATGACATGAAACTTTTTTATTGCTTCGCAATATATTATTTCCTTTAAATTATTTTATGATATTGCTACTATCATATTGCTATCATAATATTATTATTATATATCATTATATAAATCATCCACTATATATAAGTTACTACGTTTGTTTATTTGTTTGCCCAACAATTCGGTTCGACTTGAAGAAGAACTTGATCTTGGAAAGGTCGGGTCAGGGTTGGGATGACTACGGGTTGGGGCAATACGTAAAGAGCACACTTGACCTAACTAAGCCCCGCCCACTGTGGGCGGGACATGTGCTGAAAGTTGGCAATGGCTTAGACAAAAATTCAGTTCATCTGCAGAGCATCCCAGAGATGGAGAAAAAGTGGAATAATGTTAGTAATAGGTTGGCAGACTGAGTGGGAGATACATACCCGGAATTGGAGAGGCGAGATGGGCTGTGCTTCCCACGAAATCTAATAAATCGGTTATCGGGATAGTTCGGAGATCACAAAAAAGTTGATGGAGAAAGGAAACGTCTGGTAAATGTTAGGCATGTCTGTGTTGTGATGAGACTCTCCTACAGTGGGCGGCTGCCCTCAAAACAAGGTACTATAAAGCGTTGTAGAAAGAAAAAATGTACGGCTGTATGTCTTAACAAGATATGAAGCTATGGAAAGCTCGAGAAAAAGTCTCGTAGTCCCTCATGTGCCTGTCACGCAGAGAATCTCCATTTTCTGAGATATTGTTTCAGATAATTCGTCTCCTTAGCGCTTTCACCCCTCAAACTGAAATGAGTCGATTTCGTGAAGTGTATCTGGTGATGGAATTGATGAGCCACAACCTCCACGAGGTGATCAGTAAACTGAGGTCAGTTTTAGATACCAAATTTAGGCTTCTTCGTTCAATATCTTTCTTTCATTTACCTACTTCTTAATGTGTTATGATGCAAAGGTCCGTTCGATGTTGACCAGCACTGACACTGCAGTTAACGCAATCGGGCACCATGACGTACCTCTTAACTGCTATAAAAAGGGGTTGTCAAACGAGCATCACTCATTTAGGCATCTTTTGAGTGAATCCATTTTATGAATTTGTTTTCAAAAATCTTTAGAGAATTCAATTGTGAAGATATTCCGCTGAAGCGTGAAGTAGATAGTGTTCGTACCGAAGTGGATTCGACAAGCAGTGTGGAGCTTTGTTCCAAACGTGTCTTCCGGTTTTCTTGACTTAATTATCCGCCTTTGTTTCAATTGCTTTTATAATCTTCCAGAAGGGTCCTTATTCAGGTTGGACCACCGAACACTGTCGTTTTTCGTCTATCAGATGCTCTGTGCTATCAAACACCTCCACAACTCTGGTGTTATACACAGAGTGAGTCCAGCATTGAGCCTTCAACTGCTCATTCCGAAGATTCCAAGGGCATTTCAGGATCTGAAGCCGTCGAACATAGTTGTGAACGACAAATGTGTGCTGAAAGTGCTCGACTTCGGGCTGGCAAGGAAGAAGACAATCGACACAGCGATGCGGATGAGCGATTACGTCGTAACACGCTACTACCGCGCTCCTGAAGTCATCCTCGGCCTACCATATTCGGAAAAAGGTGCGCGTTGATTTCCATCTCCTTTCTGATACTTTTCTGAATAAAGTGCTTTCAGTGGATATTTGGTCCGTTGGGTGTATTTTTGCCGAAATGATCAATCATCGCGTTTTATTTCCCGGACTGGACAGGTCGACCACTAATGATTCGCATCTGATATTTACAGATTCTATTCTTCTCATGTTTCAGGGTTGATCAGTGGTCAAAAATCATCAACGAAATGGGCACGCCAGGCGAGGATTTCATAAAACAGCTTGGCAACAGCGCCGCTATGTGAGTGCCTTTCATTGTATGGAAGTCCCAGCGTATCCGTTTGATACGCGCTCAGTGGAAACCCCGAGGAAACCCAGTGCGCAGTGGTCTTGTAACTAATTAGCACAACCCCTCTTAGATAGATGTACACAGAGGATAACGCTGTGAGGAGTGGAGGAATATGGTGGAGAAAAGATGCGAGTGGTCGTACTTGGTTGCCGGAGGGAGGTATGGGCCGACTTTGGTCTGTGAAACAAATTTTTCGATAGCTGATTCTTCCTGTTTCACGCGCGCTATCCACATTGTTGATGGATCCTCTAGCGAGGGGGAGGGGGTTGGGCTGGTTCCTATTTCGAAAGGTGGGGCGGAGGCATATTAGGCTTCAAGAAAGTGTTTTCAGGACTTTCATTTTTTTGCACGAATCTCTAAGCATTGAAAGCTGGGAAAAAGAGGTGCAAAGTTGGGAGAATCCAGCAGATGGTGAGCATGGTGGGGAAGATTGGTTGTATCAAAAAAGAAACTTCGGCGTGTTTTTCAGAAGTTTTCCCAAGCGACAGGACGTGCATTAGTGAGATTTTCAAATAAGTTTGACTCCTTTCATCGACCTTAGAAGAATGGAGAGACGGTGGGCATGTGAGAGATTGGATCTCAGAAATAATAGGGTGCGGCGATGCTGCGGTGTCACCCTCTACGCTCTCCTCCACCGATATTGCGCAATTTATCAGGCAACCAAAAAAGTCCGTGCCGT